CCTCAAGGATGCCTGGGCCAGAGCCGGTGCTGGTCGCGTCCTTCACCATCGGGGGCCTCACTCGAATTCTGCCCACCCTCAGCCCCTTCACCAAATACACCACCATGATCAACCAGGCCATGCCCTACAACTATCCAGTGCCCCTCTGAGATGATGGGAATATGCCCGACGTGCCCAGCCATCCCCAGGACCCCCAGGGCCCAAGCTTGGAGTGGCCGAAGAACTTGTGAGCACCCCCGGTGACATGGAGGAGGCCCCTCCCCTGAGCCAATAAAATGCGAAAAGCGAAAAAAAAAAAAGAAAGGGGGAGCCTGACGGGGCGCCTGGGTGGCTCAGTTGGTTAAGCGCCCGACTCCTGGTTTTGGCTCTGGTCACGGTATCAGGGGTTGTGGGATGGAGCCCTGATTGGGACTCCGTGTTCAGCAGGGGGTCTGCTTGAAGATTCTCTCCCTCTGCTCCCCCCACTCTCTCTAAAATAAATAAATAAACCTTAAAAAAAAAAAAAAAGGAAAAAAAGGGGGAGCCTGAGCTTGCAAAAGCACGTCTTAGGTGGATGCACCAGAGCTGATTCCACAGCTTCGTGCAGTACCGAGCCCGACGAGTCACCCTTCCCACAGCACCCAGAACCTGGTTCTCCAAACAGCCGCCTGCCAGTGCTGGGTGACAGACGCAAGAAGGGATGTCATCCATCACTTCGTCTGGCACAACTCTGTCCGGAGCCAGCAAGATTGGTCAGGCTGGCTCTCGGAAGGCTTCTGGAGATGCTCTCTGGCCCCAGGCCTGTTTTGTGTTTCTGGGTTGAGGTTACCTCCACTTTCCTCACTTAGAGACCCAGGCCCGAGTACGAGCTTGTGAAGAGCGGCTGCACGCTTCCTGCCATCTTGTCCCAAAATGACAGGGGAGGACACTACGTATCCAAGCTGCGTGAGCTGCCCCTCTGAGGCACGCAGTCCCAAGTCGAAGAAACGGAGGCCAGGTTTGACATTAGGGTTCCACCGGCAACCTTGCTGACCTGCTGTGTCACTGTCGGAAGCTCACTTTCCCACACACCATCCCCTCCACGTATCACTGCGGGCCCTGGCAACCCGTTCTGTCCGCCAGCAGAGAGCGTGGGGGTGTCTCTCCCCTCGGGCGGGGTGAACGGCTGAACAGCTGGTTCTAGCAAACTCCTCTGTAACCGTCCTTCCATCGTTCTGCCGAAGCAGCCCTGCTCCCCGCTGCGCCCCCCCCCGGCTCCCCGTCCACAGCTGGGCAGCGGGCGCATCAGAACCCACTGGCCGGACGGCGCTCGGCGGCCAGGACACACAGGCCCAGAGCTGCCGGTTCTCCCAGCGGTGCTGGCCCCGCGGCCTCACGCGGACGGGAGAGAGGGCAAGAGGCTTCTCCAAAGAACAGACACAACAACACGAAGTCATTTGGAAAGGGACATCTCTGTCTGCACGACGACCTGGCAACAAGACCCTTCTGACTGGGCGCCATGATATTACTTTGACACGGTGACACGGAGCATGGCTCCACAGTTTCAAGGACAGCGCAGCCTAAAACTTCCAGCTGATCGGACAGGAAAAAGAAGCTGTTCGACTTATGAAGTGGGTCAGCCGAAAGGAGTGATGCGAAAGGAAAGAGGTCAGCCTGGGGTCTGCCCCCTCCTCGTCCCGTCCGGTTGACTGAGACTTATCCTTTGTGGTAAGCCAAGAGCCACAGGTCAGAAGATTCTTCTGGAACGTCACCACGCTTGGACACAGAGAAGGTCTGAAACAAGAGGCCCACGTTTTGTCTTGGATGGTCCTAAGTTTACTTCAAGGGCATCACACTCAGACGGAGGCTTCCAGAACTCTGTTCACCACCAGACAAGCTCTCATTCCAAAATCAACTCAGAAGAGATATCCTTAATTGTGTAGTCCACAGAAGAGGGGCAACAGGACGCCTAGCAAGCATGACATTTACTGGATGCTCTCTCTGAGCAAGCTTTGTGCTGAGAGCTCTCACTTGTCACAAGACGCGTTTATTCAACAACCATTGAGCCTCTGTCATGTGCAAAACACCAATACAGACACTGGCACGCAAAAATGAGCCGAAGGGTCAAAATCCTGGCTTCCACTGACCTCGCATTCTCGTCGAGGTTGATAAAAACAAATATATCTGTCCGCCAGTGATAAATACGATGAAGTAAAAGAACGCAGACGAAGGGAATGCTATATAAAACTCCCATAGAAATAAAGCGGGGGAAGCGGTGCTATTTCAGTTGCAGCGGCGCTGGAAGGCATCTCTGACTGCCATCTGATGACAGGAGCAGTAAAACGTCCCCATGTGCCAGCCACCGGACCAAAGACTCCCCGGGCAGGACTCGCTGAGTCCACAGCCCCTCTGAGATACCCCCACACAGAGCCAGGACAAAGGGCTCTCTGCAGAATACGGACACAGTTACACAGTGAGTGACAAAGCCGGGACTTGAACTCAGAAGTCCGCAACCCCGCGCTACTGGGCTGGGGGAGAAATGGAGCCTCAGAGGTCAAGTGCGCCCGTGCGTGCCCGTGCTCACAAAGCGGCAGGCCCACTGGCCTTTCCACACGGGGCTAGGAGCTCAGTGCCATTCAATCTGGCCCCCTGTAGGACTATTACTCTCAACACCAGCTGAAAACCAAACCTTCTCCTGAAACAAGAGGAGAAAGAACGTGGGCTCGGCAAGGCCAGCTAATAAGTGAACATGTTCATCTCTCATCCCCCCGCGCCCAGGCCCCCAACACAAGATGCTGTAGGAGAGGGAAACAGGCTCTGCGAATTCTCCAGGCTGCCGGTTCCCACTGGAGCCCAGACAGGGACAGAACAGGAGATGAGTGAGCCGCCGCTCCAAGGGCCACAGCGGCTCTGGAGGTGGAGCAGAGGGGACAGGCACTGAGAAAAGGTCAACACCAAGGAGAAAGGAGGCCCTCCCTAGCCCCGTTTCAAAGAAAGCACAGCCTTCCCTCCT